CCACAACGCCCGGCTATTTTTTGGTTGCAGCCGTCATTGTTGTTTGGCAGGTCCGGGCTGGGGATTTGAACCCGCCACCTTAGGTGTACGTGGCTGGTGCCTTAGCCCGTTGAGCTATAGGTGCCGAGCCTTCTTTTTTCTTTAAACAGCATCTTACTCCTTGTTGTAGCCTTGGACTCCTAGGCTCCAGTGATCTTCCTGCTTAGCCTCCTGAATAGGTGGGATACTGGCACACACCACCACATGCAGCTATATATATATTTTTTTCTGTAGAGATGGGGCCTCACTATTTTACCCAAGCTAGTCTCAAACTCCTGGCCTAAAGCTATCCTCCTGCCTGGGCCTCCAAAGTGCTGGGATACAGGGTTGGCCTAGTGTTTTGAAAATTATCACAGTGTTTTTCACTCCTTTTATAATATCAACTTAGTGATATTATTTTTTCAACTACTTTTTTAAACATAAAAGATCAAAGTATATACCATTTACTTTAAGTAAATATTATTTCAAGAAAAAAATTTGTTTTCATCTGTGAGTCTACATTGAGTTGCATTGTAAAATATTTAAGCTCACTGTGGGTCACAGTCAAACAAGTTTGAAATCTCCCACTCTGAAAGGAGCCACTGCACACGTGCAGCAAAAGACTCTTAGAATATTCACAGCAACATTATTCTTTTTTTTTAATTTAAATTTTATTGTTTGGGATTCATTGAGGGTACAAAGAATTTTAGGTTACAATGATTGCGGTTGTTAAGTAAAGTCCCTCTTATAATTCTGTCCGGCCCCCAAGAAGTGTGTCACACACGGTAACCCCTCATTTCCCTCTCCCCAATCACTTCATTCCCTTGTATTAGATCATCTATTGCCTTCATATTAGAATTGAGTACACTGGATTCTTGCTTCTCCATTCTTCTGATGCATTACTCACAAGAATGTGTTCTACCTCCATCCAGGTTAAATACAAAAGATGCAGAGTCTCCGTCTTTTTAAATGGCTGAATAGTAATCCATGGAATACATATATCACAGCTTTTTAATCCATTCCTGGGTTGGTAGGCATATCAGGTTGTTTCCAATCATTTTGGCAATTGTAAACTGAGCTGTGATAAACAATTTAGTGCAAAAGTCCTTATGATAAAAGGACTTTTTTTCTGTGTGGTGCCTGTGGCTCAGTGAGTGGGACACTGGCCCCATATACCAAGTGTAGCAGTTTAAACCTGGCCCCAGCCAAACTGCAACAAAAAAATAGCAGGTATTGTGGCAGGCACCTGTAGTCCCAGCTACTCAGGAGGCTGAGGCAAGAGAATTGCCTAAACCCAAGAGCTAGAGGTCGCTGTGAGCTGTGATGCCACTGCACTCTACCAAGGGCAACAAACTCTTAAAAAAAAAAAAAAAAGATTTTTTTTTTTTCCTTCTGGGTAGATGCCCAGTAATGGGATTGCAGGATCAAATGGGAGGTCTAATTTGAGTTCTTTGAGGATTCCCCAGCCTTCAAATTAATACAATCTTTTTGGAAGGAAGTATGGAGAATCCTACAACATTATCTTAATAGCAAAAACTTAGGAACTATACCTCTTGTCCACCCTGAAAAGAATGATATAATCATTCTGACACATTCATGAAATGAAATCCTAGAGATCAGTGAAAATCAACGAACTAGAGCTACATGTATCACCCTGGATGTCTCAGATAAGCACACCTGATAAAAAAGCCACAGAAGAATGTACATTATACAGTGATCTATATTGTATAAAGATGAAAACAAGCATGGTTATGCAACATGTTTATAAAAATGAATATTCTCATGCAAGGATAGAGATTATTTGTTGTAAATCTATAAAAGAATTAAGGAAGAGTTAAAATAAAACTAGAAAAAAGGAAAAGAAAAACACAAACACTTTTAGATAATGGTTATGAACTAAGTGAAGGCAGACGGACGGGTATGTAAAACACTTCAACAGTTTTAGTAAATTCTTAGCTGTTGACTTGAGAGTCATTTATTATTATGTTTCTTAACCTATATTAAGTTAATCATATGAATTTTCCATTTTCCATTTTTGCAGGCTAAAAATGGCTGAACACCAGCAATTTCATTTAATTCAAACACTTAACATATTGTTTTCAAATGTATAAAATATTTCATAAAGTAAATCCTAGAAAACATTTATTTGGAGGATATTTATTTTTTATTTATTTTTTTCGAGACAGAGTCTCACTTTGTTGCCATTAGTAGAATGCCATGGACTCATAGCTCACAGCAACCTTAAACTCTTGAGTTCAAGTGATCCTCTTGCCTCAGCCTCCCAAGTTGCTGGGACCACAGGTCCCCTGCACAATGCCTGGCTAATTTTAGAGATGGGGTCTCACTCTTGCTCAGGCTGGTCTCAAAGTCTCAAACTTGTGAGCTCAAGCAATCAACCTGCCTCAGCCTACAGAGGGAGACATAGTGAGAGTCTGTCTCAAAAAAACAAAACAAAACAACAACAACAAAACCATTGAAAAGCACAAGAAAAGGGCCAAAAGCTGACAGAAAGTGAAGAACTTATCCCTGAAAGAAGAAAATTGAAGTAGGTAAGATTTACATTTATAGAGTAGTTATCAATGCTTTAAGGCACCTAAAATGCCAGTAAAAGGCCACAGTTTTAATGGTTCAAAGAGCCAGAGGTCAAGTTCAGTCTGCCACACCGGCTAGGAAGTGATGGGGAAATTTCTGGAAAAGAGAGACAAAAGATTCCACAAAATCCGTATATAAACTCCACCCAGATCTCTAGTTGATCTTGGACTGTGGCATATGAGTAAGGGAAACTACAAGATTACCAACCAAAAACAAAACCTGGAAGGATAAAAGAAATGATCTTTTCTGAAGTATGGAGTCTAGCCAGGTTAATTGCTGGCTAAAATAAAAATCAATACTCTTTAAAAAGATAACAAAATCCAGAAACTCTTTAACATGACTACATAATTGAAAAAAATCACCAGACATACAAAGATACAGAGGTAGGCGCCTGAGAGTTAAGAGAAAAAGGATTCTATAAAAACAGCCCCCAAGATAGCTCTTTTGTTGGGATCAGAGACAACTAAATGCAATGCAGGACCCAAAATGGTATCCTGGAACTAGAGAAAGGACATTAGTGGAAAACCTGCAGAAATATGAATAACATTCTTAGTTTAGTAAAGAGTATTGTACCAATGTTAGATTACTGGTTCTAGTAAGTATGAAATAGTGATGAGAGATGCTGACTATGAATATATGGAAACTATTTGAATTATTTTCATATTTTTTCCTAAGTCTAAATTAAAAGGCAGAGATAGCCAGATTGGATTTAAAAAAGGTAGACCCAAGTATATGCTGTCTTCAAGAGGACATAAAGAAGCTAATTTGCCACTTCTGAACTCCTCCAACCCTACTAGAAAGTAAGAGGAATGGAGTAACTGTGTAATATAGTTTATTACAGGATCTACAGCAATCTGGGATAAAGGACAAAAAGTTTTGGTATGCTGTGACATATCTGACTCTACCAACTTTTTGGTTGATTTAGTATCATAAAATAACATTTTTGTATGACAAAGAAAAAACTTTTACTATCATGATAAATCCTGACCACCTCAGGAAAATATTAAAAACTATTATACAGTTCAACTATGCAATTCCTTACAAGACAGGTTTGCCCTATGTCCCTATTAATGGGTTTTATCTAATTCTAAAAAACTTTTATGCATTTCCATTTGGGGGAATATAATGAACCAAATAACTTGAGAAATTATTTGCTACAAATCCCTAGAAATGTTGAGTTAAATATAATAAACTTAAAAAATATATATATTTCTGAGTTGGAAGAAAAAAAGAATTTCCCTAGAGGCCAAAAAAAAAAAAAGAAGGAAATAAAGGTAAAGCAGTTATAAGAGTGGCCTAATATTATAGTTATCCTTAGAGGATTTTCTATCTCAATAACACAGATGGTCAAGTAGAACAAAATAAGTCTTTCATTAAGAATTTTTAACCACAGGCTTGCCTTTAACTGATTTGGTGTTTAAATTTTCACTGCAGGGAAATATAGAGATTCCCCAATCAGAACATTTAACAGAAAAAGTAGTCCAAAACCTATGACAGCCCTGGCTACTACGCAAAATCAAACAAAAAGTCTTTCAGAACAGTATATCCTCAATCTAGACAGCAGCAAAATTTCCACAGATAAAGCTCAAACAATGCACCTTCAATCCAAAGATACAAACTCATAAGAAAACAAACTGTTGTGAAAAAAGATAAGCAGAAACAGAGAAGTAGCACCCCCAGGACCTCAGAAAATAATATATTAACTACACATAAAGTGTTGAAAATTAATCAATTTATAAAAATAAGAAAAGAACATGACACTAGAATAAAAGCACACACGTCTGAAACAGATAAAACCTATCTGAAGAGAATTAGTAAACTGAAATACAGATCTGAAGAAATTACTCAGAATGGAGCAAAGACAGAAAATAAGAAAGGTTAAGAGACAAACGGAAAGAACACCAAGTTCCAAAAAATGTTCAAGAAGAATTACAGAGAAGTGGGGGGCACCCGTAACTCAGTGGGTAAGGGTGCCAGCCACATACACCAGGGCTGGCAAGTTCAAACCAGACCAGGCCTGCTAAAACAACAATGACAAGTGCAACAACAACAAAAAATAGCTGGGTGTTGTGGCAGGTGCCTGTAGTCCCAGCTACTTAGGAGGCTGAGGCAAAAGAATCACTTAAGCCTAAGAGTCTG